ATCATATCATTTGTAAATAAAGATACTTTGACTTCTTCCTTCCCTGTTTGTATCCCCTTGCCTCTCAGTTGCCTTTTTGTTCTAGCTAGGACTTCCAATTCTATACTGAGTAAGTATGGAGAGAACGGACATCTTTGTCTTGTTCCTGATTGTAATGGAAATGCTTTGAGTTTCTCTCCATATAAGTTGTTACAGGATATGAGCTTGCTGTAAAATGCTTTACGTTGAGATCATTTCTCTTATATCCCTGGTCTCTACAGGACTTTTATCATGAAGGGGTATTGGATTTTGTCAAAGGCCTTTTCTTTAGCTAATGAGATGATCATATATTTTGTGTCTTGCTTTACAAATGTTGGATCATCCCTGCATCTCTGGGATGAATCCAATGTGATCATGGCGGATAATCTTTTGATATGTTTATGGATTCAGTTTGCAAGTATTTTATTGAGAATTTTTACATCTATGTTCATAAGAGATATTCATCTATTATTTTCTTTTTTGTTGTTAGGTCTTTGTATGGTTTTAGAATCATGGTAATAGTAGCTTTCTAAAAATAAGTGGTCCTCAGTTTCTGTTTTGTAGAATATTTTGAGGAATAGTGCATTAATTTTTCTTTGAAGGTATGGTAGATTTCTCTACTGAATCCATCTGACCCTGGACTGTTTTGGTTGGAAGACTTTTAATTACTGCTTCTGTTTCACTAGGGGTGATGGAGCTGTTTAAATTGCTTATTTGATTTTGATTTAATTTTGTTAGGTTGTGTATATCAGGAAATTCATCCATTTATTTTAGGTTGTCAGTTTGGTGGAATACTGGTGTTTAAAGTGTGCCCCTATGATTCTTGGTATCAGCTGTCATGCCACCATTTTCATCTCTAATTTTATTAATTTGCAATCTCTCTGTGTCTTTCAGTTAAGCTGGCTAAGGATTTGTCAATCTTGCTGATTTTCTCAAAGAACCAGCTCTGTGCTAATCATTGTTTCCTTGTATTGTCATGTTTCTACTCTTTGATTTCAGCCCTGAGTTTGTTTCTTACCATGTATTTTTTTTTAACTTGCTATTTCTTCTCATTGTTTTAGAGCTTACAGATGTTTCAATAAGTTACTAATATAAGGCCTCTTCAGTTTTCTTTTGATGTAGGCACTTGGTGCTATGAATTACCCATAGAACTGCCTACATTGTGTCCCATAGGTTTAAGTATATTATATTTTCATTTTCATTCAGTTTTGAAGTTTTTATTTTCCTTTTTGATTTCTGTCTTGACCCATTCAGTAGTGAATTGTGCAGTTCCCATGAGTCTGCATACTTTCTGTTGTTTCTGTTGTTGGTAGCCAGCTTTTACCCATGATGATCAGATAGGATGCAGGGTGTTATTTCAGCTTTCTTCTATCTGCTAAGACTTGTGTGTGGTCACTTTTGGATAAAGTTCCATGGGCTGTGAGAAGAAAGTATATTCTTTAACACTTCCATGGGGTTTTCTGTAGATGTCTGCTAGAGCCATTGGTTTATGATGCTGTTTAACTCCAGCATTTTTTTTTTTTTTTGTCTGAATGACCTATTGGCAGGAGTGGGCTGAGTGGGGTATTGAAGCCACCCACTATTGTAATGTGAGAATTACTATGGATTTTAGCTGTAGTCGTTTCTTTTCTGACCTTGAATGCCCTTGTGTTTGATGCATATTTAGAATTATAATACCCTCTTGGTGGGTGTTTGGGTTTTATTGTTGTGAACCGAGGCAATTCTTATAAAGGCAGACATTTACTTGGGGCTGGCTTGCAGTTTTCTAGGTTTAGTCTGTTATCGTCATGATAGGAAGCAAGGCATCTTGAAGGCAGACTTGCTGCTGAAGAGCCAAGAGTTCTACATCTTCATCCAGAGGCAGCTGAAGTAGACTGCTCCTGCAAGCAACCAGGAGGAGACTGTCTTCCACACTGGGTGGAGCCTGAGCATAGGAGGAGGCGCCGGAGTCCACTGTCCTACACAGTGACACACTTCCTCCAATAAGGATACACCCCCTAATAATGCTATCATCCATGGCCAAGTATTCAAACACATGAATCTATGGGGCCAAATCTGTTCAAACTACCACAGTGGTTCTTTAATGAGTATGTAGTATCCTTCTCTATCACTTCTAAATAGTTTAGGGTTGAAGTCTATTTTGTCAGATAGTATGGCTGTACATGGTTGCTTCTTGGAACCATTTCTTAGAATACCTTGTTCTATTCTTTTATACTGAGGAGATGTTTATTCTTGATGGTGAGATTTTTTTTTTCCAGATACATCAGAAAGATGGATCTTGTTTTTTAAATCAATCTGTCTTTCTATGTCTTCTTTTTTTTTGGGGGGGGAGGGGGTTGGGGGGGAGTCTGTATAGCCCTGGCTGTCTTAGAAGTTGCTCTGTAGATTGGACTGGCAGCAAGCTCCCAGAGCTCCGCCTGCCTCTGCCTCTCACATGCTGGGATTAAAGGCGTGCACTACCATTGCCTGGCTAGTCTATGTCTTTTTATTGGGAAATTGAGACCATTAATTCTAAGTTATTAATGAACAGTATTTATTGATTCCTGAGATTTTATGCTGTGATATGGGTTTCCCCCCCTTGTTTGATTTCCTGTTCTGGGGTTATTTATTTATGCCCCTTTTGGGGTGTGGTTAACTTCTCCAGACTCAGGTTTTGCTTGTAGTGCGTGCTGTAGAGCTGGATTGTTAGATTGCTTAAATTTAGTTTTACTGTGGAATGTTTTTCTTTGCCAGTTATGACTGCAAGGTTTTTGCTGGATATAGTAGTTTGGACTGGCATCTGTGGTCTCTCAGAATTTGTGCAATATCTATTCAGGCCCTTCTGGTTTTCAGAGTCTCCATTGAAAAGTCAGGGGTTATTCAAATGAGCTTGCTTTTCTTTATATGTGACTTGGTCTTTTTCCCTTGCAAATTTTAATCTCTTTTCTTTGTTCTGTTTATTTAGTGTTTTGATTATTATGTGTTGTAGGAAATTTCTTTTCTGGTTCTATGTATTTTCTTTAGATTAGGAAATTTTTCATCCATGATTTTGTTAAAAATAATTTCCGTAACTTTGATCTGAGTTTCTTCTTTTTCCCCTATCCCTATTATTGCAGATTTGGTCTTTTATTTATGTATACTTGCATTTTATGCATTTTTGCATGTATAATTGCATGACAGAAGAGGGCATCAGATCCCATTATAGATGGTTGTAAACCACTGTGTGGTTGCTGGAAATTGACCTCAGGACTTCTGAATGAGCAGCCAGTGCTCTAACTGCTGAACCTTCCCTTCAGTTCCTGGATATCTTGTACATGCATTTTTAAAGATTTATCATTTTCTTTGACTGAGCTATTCATTTCTTCTATCTTGTCTTAAAAACCTGAAATTCTCTCTTCCAGGTTTTATAATCTGAGATTTTTTTAGTTTAAATTTTCTTTCCCTCCCTCCCTGCCCCCGTCCCACCCCCCCGCCCGCCCTCCCCGGCTCGCGGGGGCGGCCCCCCCCACCTCTCTCTGCCTCTCTCTGCCTCTCTCTGCCTCTACTACCCTCTTAACTCACCTCCCCATGCCCTGAATACACTGTCCCTCAGGGGGAAGGGATGCCTCAGCATGGGCCCTCTGAGACATCCCCTTCCCCCATACCTGACTACACATCCATAGAACATATTCTATGTCGCTTTATCTTTTTATAAACACATCAATTTAACCATTTTTATTTCCACTGTCTTTATTAAGACATTTGTTTCTATCCTATTTAAGGGCCTTGAACATATTCATAATTGCTATTAGTCCTTATCTTGTGCTTCAGCTAGAAGCATTGCTTGGGTCCTATTACCATGAAGTTACTGGCTTTTGAAGGAAGCGTATTGTACTGCCTGTTCATGTTTGTGTTTTTGTGCTGAGATTTAGATCTGGAGTTAAGATATTTCAAGTATGTTTTTAGTGAGGTGTCTGGTCATGTCTTTGTGGGTGGGTGTTCCATTCTTTGTTGCTGTTGCCCACTCTGGGTAGAGAGTGCTCCTGTAGGTTGAGAGTAACATAAAGAAATGGAAATGGGGCCGGGCGGTGGTAGCGCATGCCTTTAATCCCAGCACTTGGGAGGCAGAGGGGATCTCTGAGTTCAAGACTAGCCTGGTCTACAGAGTGAGTTCCAGGACAGCCAGAGCTACACAGAGAAACCCTGTCTCGAAAAAAAAAAAGAAAAGAAAGAAAAGAAAAAGAAAATGGGTTGAGAGGAAAGGCTGAGAAAGACAGAATGAAAAAGCTAGAGGAACTGGGATTCACACCAAAAGGCATCCAAGAGATGGAGGTGTGGTGGGAAGCATTGCAAGCGGGCTGCCTCTGGGCAAATAGTAGTCTAGAGAGGCTGGAGTGCAGGACAAGAGAGGTTTGTTTTGTTTCTTTGGTCTTTGGCTTTTCAGAATGATTTGTCAGGGGCTAGGATATAGCTCGGTTAAGTAAAAGCTTGCCTAGTGAGCACAACGCCCTGGATTTGATCCCTAGCACCACATAAACCAGGCATGTTGGGACATGTCGGTGCATGCCTGTAATCCCAGCACTGGGGAGGCTGAAAGCAGGAGATGGGTGTTTAAGACCATCTTTGGCTACAAAGCAAGTCTGGGGCCAGCTTGATTTACAAGAGACTATGCCCCCAACACCCCTCCCCATATAACTTGCCAATTTCTACCCGGTTTAACCGGCAGATTGAGATCTCGTTTCTCTCATTCCTTTTTGACTGAAACTCTAGCAGTTTAAAAATCCTATTTCCTGTATTTGGAATACAGTGACTATTGAGTATCTGCTCTGTGTCCACCAAGGCTGGCTGCATGGAACCTGCTGGCAACCCTGCTGGGGCTGGCCCCTACCCAGACAGGTGAGAAAGCTATGTGCACATACAACAAGCATTACGCTTTCTCTCCTTGGATGCTGGGTCACTGTTTTAAAGCCCACTGTTATTTAGTATGTCAAGGGGAATTGTACTCATGTATTTGTTTTTCATAGGATTTTATAAAGGCCCAAGACTTGGATGACTTGGAAAACACAGTTGCAGCTCTTAAGAGTGAATTTCAGAAGACACTTAATGACAAGACAGAAAACCAAAAGTCTTTGGAGGAGAACCTAGCAGCAGCCAAACATGACCTCCTCAGAGTCCAGGACCAGCTGAGCATGGCTGAAAAGGTTAGGAGACACAGATGGAAGAGCTGGCTTCGCCTGCTGATGTCTGTTATCTACTGCGTCCAGTAGAGAGGCCCAGATGTGACTAGATAAGTGTGCACAGTGCCAGGGGCATGCACGGTGCTGGGGCAGCTCCTTTCATTCTGAATTTTAGCCAATGTATGTTCTGAAGAGCTATCATTTCTTGGCACTTCCCTTCTTCCATCTTTGTGATAATGAACAAACTGCTCCCTCCCTCCTCCACATGCTGCCTCCACCCTCCACCCTTGTTTTGCTGTCTGTCTGCTGGACCTTCTATAGCCTGAGAGACCTGGATGGCTTTTTTTTTTTTTTGTAAGATTTTAAAACCTTCTTTAAAATGCTTTATATGGGAAATAGAGAGTAAGTTTTTCACTTTAGGAACTACACATTTAAGAATATAGATGCAGGGCTGGAGAGATGGCTCAGCAGTTAAAAGCACATCCTGTTCTTACATAGAACCCAGGTTTAGTTCTCAGCACCCACATGGTGGCTCATAACCATCTGTAACTCCAGTTTCAGGGGACCTTGATGGCCACCAGGCATTCATATAGTGAACATACATACACACACACACACACACACACATACATACATACATACTATGTAAAACATTCATATACATAAAGTAAATAGGTAAATCTATGTTTTCAATCATACTTCTTTTTGAAGAAGGACTGGATGTGGAATTCACGGCTACTGCACATGAGGCACGTGCTCTGCCAGCTCTGCGACAGTCCTGGGGACTAAGGGATCCTCAAACGAAGGGCTAGAACGATGCTCAGGGTCAAGACTCTGCAGACGGTCTGCATTTGACTTTCAGCGCTCACATCAGATGTCTCACAACTGCCTGTAATTCCAACTCCCTGCATGAACGCTATTTACATAAATTCACTTCGTCATACACACGTACACGTAATTTAAAAAGTAAATGTTTTAAGACACTAGAAAGCCCTCCTCCTCCGGATTTAGAACTTGAGGGTTTAGAAAAATATTGTACATATTTTACTTAAAAGTTAGTTTATATGTTGAACAGGTTCCAATATCTAGGGCACGGTGTAATTAAGTCAGCTGCTAACATGATGTTACCTTGGAAAATAGTACTATTTATAAGCTTCTCCTTTGAAGTCTTGTTAAATAAAGCTCAGGTGGTTATAATATTATACAAGTATGTTTTTAAGGAAATTAGAAAATTAGCAGACAACATGCATTTTTTATCACATTTGTTATTCTTTCCTTAATGTTTCTTAGTAACGGGCTGACATTTTTCATAAAACAGGAGTTAGAGAAGAAATTTCAACAGACAGCAGCTTATCGAAACATGAAAGAGATTCTCACCAAAAAGAATGATCAAATCAAAGACCTACGGAAAAGACTGGCAAAGTAAGCTGCCTCATCCTGACCTGGGGTCTCTCTCCCCGCTTGCCTGCTGGCACCGATGAGTCAGGCCTGAGCTGGCCCAGTGTTTAGTCCACAGGGTTGCTTTAGGCTCAGCTAGACCTTTTTCCTCACCACACTGCACTCAGTCGCAGGCACAGAAACGGCAGCCAGCCAGGCAGCACTAGGTATTTATGCTTCGTAGTGTTCTCCTGCCTGGCACTGATGTCCTTCGCTAGTTGGAGTCATTTTGTCATCAGGGCTTTGCATAGAAATCTAGCTGAAGCTGACATTTTGTATTTGTTCTCAGGGAAGACATCTTTAAAGCGAATTCAAGATTAGATTTGTCTCGGATGAGGTTTGTTAACCCTTAACTCATAGGCATGTTAGCTGTTCATGTTGATCTTAAGATTGTTGTAATTGGGCTAAGCTATCAAGGGTCAAATTCTAAGTGCAGGCCTAGAATCAGAAGACATGTCAGGTGATCCGATGTGACCCCAAGTCAGCATCCTAGCACTAGCCTTGAGTGTAACTCCTTTCTGCTGCAGCGGGGTGTGAGGTGAGCAGTGAGAGCACTCCTGGGAGAGCAACTAGATTTCACTTACAGCGGTGTCCAGAACAGAAAGGGTCATGACACTATGCTCTGTTTTTATCTCCAGATATGAATCTGAAGATTAAAGACTGGAGGCTTTGTCTAGATTCTGCCACACATGAACGTACAAGTCCTCTCCGCCACCTCAGGCATGTATTTGGAAGCATTTTGTCAGATTCTCTTCTTTCTCCAGTGTGTAGGCTTTCCTTGTAATATTAGAACCATCATTCCTATCTTCAGTTCTGTAACTGTGAAGAGAAAAAATGTAATGATTCTTTTCTGTTGTCCCAAACACCTCTCTGTCAAGTGCTCCAGAGCCCCCATGCAAGTACAGTGAGATTTCTCTGTGGTGGAAAGCAGTGTAGAGTGGGAAGAAGGGCCATCCTTTCGCACTAGTGAGTGAACCTTCCAATGTTAGAGAAGCTGGTGACATCTATACTAATACAGTCCCAAATGTAAAGATAAATAGTAAAGTTATTCACATTTACAAATAAACCTTGTATTTTTAATAATGCAATCTTAATTAATTTATCTGATCATCAAAGTGTGTAAACTCATGGAAAATATGTTTACTTTCCACTCCAGTCAGCATTTCTAATTAATTATAAGAGAGAGTAAGCTGAAGGGACTGAAGACTCAGCTACCCTCTGCATCTCTCCCTCGTGCGTGCTGCTCAGCCTAAGGGATGCGCACATTTCTGCATCTTTACGTACCATGGGTCTGTGTTCTGGGTGGAGAAGTCAGATTCATCCTGTAGTTTCACATTTTATCAAGAACAAAACCTTAAGTTTCCCTAGGTCTTGTAACTCAGCAAGGCTTGTGAATGGAAATATAGTGCCCAATCACATTCTGCTTTAAAAGGTAAATACAGATGAGATAAAAAGAAAAAAGAAAAAAAAATAAAAAGCAGATGGACTCAAAGTACATGTAATCTTTAGAATCATTTGCAGAATATCCTTTTAGCTTATATGTGAATTAGAATTCTTTCAAACTTTGGCTCAACATAAAGTCATTTATTAAGTCCCAGGTTTGTATGTATACAGAGAAATGGCACTTTCAAGCGATTTTAATACTCTTATTGATGTACTTTCCCCTGGGTGATCATATGTAAAGTTCGGAAACAGGACATGATGCCTGCCATGTGTGGTGCAGTGATGTGGTATGAGAATAAATAAAGCTCACAAGGCAGTTAAACTTCAGAAAGAAAGCATTCACCCTTCATGTGTTACCATGGAGGAAGTTTTCTATTTCTCAAAACAAACATGTCACATCCTCTGTGAACAATCTGAGGCTTTTCCGTCTCCACCAATAGGGAATTTATTCCCACAAAAGAGCACATTGATCAGAGCTCACATCTTTGTAATTTTTACTCAAACACTTAGTATTAGCTTTTACTATACTATGGGATTTTTGTAGCTTTGTTAAATACTAATGGAACAAATACTAGAGATGTGATTTGTCCCTAAAACAAGCCGGGAAGGCAATCCTAGGAAGATGAAGGAGGCCGCAAAGGAAGAGAAAAATATGTAATAACAAAGCAACATTTCTTACACATTTTTGTCATCCATTTGTAGTTGGACCGCTCCTCAGTTTCATGTAGGGCTTGCACTGAGGACTATAGTTTCACCCTGTGTTTCTTTAGCCCAACATAATTCCCTCTCTAAAATTCCATTTGTGGACCAGGATGCTCTGAATAAGTCAGAAACCAAACCTTGTAACTAAATGGAAAAATATATCTTTGAGAAACGGTTTAGTATAACCGGGAGGTGGTGCCACACGCCTTTAATCCCAGCACTTGGGAGGCAGAGGCAGGCGGATTTCTGAGTTCGAGGCTAGCCTGGTCTACAGAGTGAGTTCCAGGACAGCCAGGGCTACACAGAGAAACCCTGTCTCAAAAAACAGAAAAAAAAAAAAAAAGAAAAAAAGAAAAGAAAAAGAAACAGTTTAGTTGTATTCTCCCTACACCTTTCTCAGCTGAATGTCAGGAAGAAAAGACTTGGTAAATCATTGTAATACATTGCTGGGTATAATTTTTATTTGTTTGGTTGGTGGTGGCTTTGAAATATTCTGTGTAGTATATTCTATTTGTTGAATAATAAATTCAAATTATTTCTGAAACCTTAAAAACTGTTAAGCAGTAAGTTAAACAAAAGGGCTGTGTAATCATTGTGACGCCTGTCTCTTACAGCACTGACTGTATGATCACTGTGCGCCTGTCT